AGGGTGGCTTATACATGGGGAAATACGGTAAATGTACAATTGAATAGGCGGATTCATTATGCTTAATTTGTGTAGCTTAGGCATTTTTTCTAAGCAATTGAGGCTTCACAAAGAAAGCTGATATCCACTAAACTAAGGAGAATATAGCATCTAACGTGGATCCCGGCAAAGGGATTCATATGAAGTTAAATTGCAAAATGTAGACTTCAACTTCTCTTATTTTGCCACCTATCAGGGCTCGCATAGAAGCTGTTCATGCTGGAGGAATTTCACTCAAAGATGCAACAGTAGGCTTGCTACAACAAAGAGACTTGAGAACAAGAGTTTAGAATGGACCAAGCTCGTTGCCATTTTAGAAATTGCACTACCTCATCTATCACGTGAATTGACCGAAGCTTCAAAACCATCCTCTTGTTAAAAGGGATGATCGGCCACATGCAATCAATTATGATAGAATGTGCAAGAGAACTGTCGCTACTTCGGACACAACGATAGCTTCCATGGAAGCTTTTTAGGCGGTTTCTTTAATTTGGTCCTTGAACAAAGCAGCGATTAGCATTTTTTCTACTTAACGATGTATATACTTGTTTTGGTGTATGCTGGCGGGTAGTCAAACGCACGACTCTCCGGGATTTGAAGTTTTTACTTAACATGGGAAAGATAGGAAAACTTCCATCAGGCTTCATATTTTCTGAATCTTCATCTCTTTATGACTTTAGCGCCAACATTCGACATAGAAATATCATATCGTTAAGATGAGATATAAGTCATAATAGTTGCATTTCCTAAAAAATAAGCACAAATATTTTGTTTATAAATTGGTTTCCGAGGCTACCAGTAGATCGTCCATATTTGGTTTAAGGTGATAAGATGATTGGTAGTTGAATTTTCCTCAATGATACGAGTATATGTTACATTTTCATTGAATTTCACAGTGTCTTGCTTTTAAAAGTTATTCTCACCCGGACTCGACTAGACTGCAGTTTCGACCTTGCCTTGGTCTCATTAGAACCTCCAGCGGGACTCGAACCATAGTATTGCATTATACAATCTCGACGCGTTAACCAATAACAATGGAGCATATAAAGAAAAGAATAAATAATGTAATTAGCAGATACAACTTTGTATACTTGTAACACTATCAAAGAATGTAATATGGGAAAATGCCTGGCCCTCCTTAAAATTAACATCTGCCCTGGGACCCCATGTCACGTGTGGCAGTGTTTTGTAGTCGTTAACGTGTTGAGATTATACGCTACACTACCACAACCCGCGTTCGAGTCCCGCTGGGGGTGCTGATGAGACCAATTGAAGCGAGATTGAACTTGCAGTCTACTCCAGCCTGGATAAGAATATCTTTTGGGAAGGCAAAACTATGTAGAATTTAATGGAAAAGTTAGATCTATTTATATGATTGTAGAAAAATTAGACTGTCAATATTCTTATCACCTCAAACGAAATAGGATGAATGCATCTCAAATAAATGTGTACGAGGCCTTCTCTAAAAAGGTCTTCTCACCTATTTGGAAACCATAATTCCAACTGAGCTTGTACGTTATCTGCAATACAAATCGGAATCGAGACTGGATTTTCCGCGTCAGGCAGAATGGTATCACTTCGCAAAGTAAGACAGGTTGCAGATGCTGCCTTCAAGGCGAGCCAGTCTTCTCCCATTTCACACGTATGCTTAGACTGGTGATGTTAATACAAACCTGTATTTTACTTTTTAATCGATTATACTACTATCTTCTAGAGGAGTAGTATCTTAGGTTGTCAGCAGTTATCGATATCGAACTCAGGTCATTCCAGGCCGAGCAAAACAACCTTAGGGGAGAGATAGCTGAACAAAATTCATTCGCATCGTGAGGCCCTCTAGCAATTTTATTGTAAAAATTTCAACTATTACTTTTATATTGCATTAGAAGATCAAGGCTGATTAGAGTTCTTTCAAAAAGATATAAATAAATATTTTAAATATACCATAGTTTGCTGAGGCTCGTCCTGGCATGCGTAAGCCTAGAATCTGCTCCCTCAAAGCCATATCTTTGTCGTATCCGATGGATCAAATGTTTGATTTTATGCTCGAACAAGATCTACAAAGAATTTCCACGTGTAGGCATTATTCTCAGAGCATGCATAATGCCGAGATTAGCATTACTTCGTCTCAGTTCAGGTAAATATTGGCCAAAAGCTGGGAAGGCATTCTGTAAATCGACTCGGTGTGTTGTAAAGTGTTGGTTGAGTGAGCAAAAATCGCCTAATTGGCTCTCAATTTGGGTGCATCCTCGCAATCTTGGCAAGGCTTCCAGAGATAATAAGCAAGAGCAAATTGTTCAGTCATGTGGACGTCTGCTCCAGTTTAGTCAGCTTCCACGTGAATTGTCGACTGTCTTGAAGACTACATGTCGGGTTTCTTTCTTTCTTCCGCTCAGGTCGCATAATGTGAATAAAGATTGATAGTTGAATTTTCCCGCAATCATGTGAATGGGTCTCAATAGAAACGTAAGACCTATGCATATAATTGCGGTAAAATTCAACTATCAATCCTTCATCACTTTATGCGTTCTAAGGTGAATACAACTCTTATACCAATAATGCTGAAACCTGCTGAATACGAATATATACTATCATGAGGTTGGTTGCTCACTTGACTAGAAGGTCTGTTCACAAGAAAGGTAAATAGTTGGTATTCTAGTAATAGTTGGCTTTGTTCGCATTCTCATCCGACCATCTGTTGGCCAAGATGTCTGTCCCCGATGACCACCGTTTCAATAGAGAACCCTTTACACTCCAACAGGGGCCCAAACTCGCCGTGTGACTGATCGGCTGGTCCTGTGGCAGCTCATGTACTATATGCCTCACAAACCTGTCGCCCACTTGAAGCAAAATCTGCCTCCCGTTGAGCGGTTGTATGGCTTCCTTATATGCTTCCCTGTCTGTACGTGTGTCTGTTTGTGCATGTGAATGTATATGTGGCCTAGTGGTTGAATCTGTGTAGGCGAGCATACAGTAATGGTGTGCACACTCTATTTGATAATAGGCAATGCGGCAAAAGATGGGCCATAGTTGCTCATGCGCTATGTTCATAGAAGATTGTGTGCCCCCGGTCTTGCCAGAACTTCATACCGAGCGAGGATAGTCAATGGACGACCGCCACGACCAGAGCCGGTGCCAGCGCTAAGAGACATCGGCCGGCAAGTGAATTAATCTTCGAAAAACTTTCATTTGCCCCAAATTTTTCCATTTATCTGTCTCTCTCTCGCTCGCTCTCTTTCA